CCCGGTGTTGTGGCGAATGTCGAATCCCTGCCAAATTATTACCCCCCTCGTTGAAGTCAGCATCTGATTGCCTAATCCCAACCCTCCGCCACAACTAATCCTAAACCTACCAATACTAGGGGGGTAATAATTCGGCAGGGGGTCAGATTTGGCAAAACACCGGCACAAATCCTATCCGTTTGTTAATTCTGACGTCACACGCCACTGCTTCCGGGTCCAAACACTATCAGGTGCCAGAAGCAAACAACAAATGGTGTTAAAAAACACTCACAATGTGATGTAATGCCACCGTAAAATCCATACTGAAATCTCAGTTGGTCGGACAGTGATTCATCTTTTATGAATCGCTAAAATATTGTCCGTGATGCCATGAGCACGGAGACTTTAATACGTTTTTAATTGCTTAGGGGCCGTTCGGTATTTATGGAAAGGGCCACCGGAGGAAAATAGGGGAGGGTCATGTCTTTTTATTCTTTGTTGAGGGGAGGGTCATCCAACTTTTTTTAGTCTAGGGGGAGGGTCACCCAATTTTTGTATTCATGAAAACAGCTAAATTTCAAAGTGGCTTGTTTGGTGCATATTTTTTCCATGTAGCTCTCTCGGTCTCGCTGTTTGACAGTGTGCACGCACTTCAGTACGTAGGGCTACCACATTTTTTAATTACTATTAGTATTGTTTTAAGTTAACATAATAAAATACTCAGACACTACACCAAAAAACTAGTTGAGGATAAATTCTTGTGACGTGACACAAAAAATCTTTAACTTTTAGGTGGCAAAATATTTTTTAGTAATTCTATGAATGAGGCAAAACAAAAGTAATACTACCCACCGGATGAAGAAGGGTCGACCTCCACAGAACATAACATATTATTTTTATTTTATTTTTCGTGTTCGCATTTATGAGGGAAAAAAACAATGTTACGGACGTGACAGGTCTCCGTTACGGACATGACCGCTCTGAAAGTGACTTTAAAACTTTCACAGAGACCTCAAACAGAAAGCACAAAGCCTTTCTTTAAAGTGAATTTCATTTTTTATTAATTGTATCTTAATTTTAATCAATGTTTCATCAAGCAATTGCCTGGATTTAATAAATAAGAAGTAAATATAGTAGAAAATAGCAGCCCAGTCTCATCCCAAGACGTCATCGGTCTGACACTTTTGACCATACGTCAACATCCGACGTTTTAGGGTACCCTTTAACGTCAGTTAGATGACGCTATCTAATCCTAACCCTACCCCAGACCTAAACCTACCCGCGTCATCTAACTGACGCTAAAGGTAAAGCGTCAGTTAGATGACGCCCTAGGATCGTCATCTAACTGACGTTAAAGGGTACCCTAAAACGTTGGATGTTGATGTATGGTCAAAAGCGTCAGTCATATGACGTCTTGGGATGAGACTGTGTTAAAAATAGATCATCATGACACGGAGGCGCCGGCACGTGAACTGGACTCTCGTCTCATAAATGAACCGAAACTCAGCGTATAAGGTAGGCCCACTTGCTTCACAGACCTGAGAAATATATAGAAAGCTTGAATTGTCTACTTTTAAACAGAACAATTCAAAACATGATTTTTTCAAATTAAAAAATCATAGGTTTGGTCTATCGTTACAGCCCTAGTAAGAAAGCAGGAGTTTAGTCGTTTGTCCTGGTTGTAAAAAAACAATGGCTATCTGAACATCTTTGTCAAGCGCAAACCAGTACAGAAGTAATCAATAAATTATCGGGGAGGGTCACGCCTTTTTTCACAATCATTTTGGGGGAGGGTCATAGAAAAATGTATTGCTGGCAAAGGGAGGGTCAAGTCTCTTTTGACTACAGATCTCAAAACTCCTCCGGTAGCCCCTTAAATAAAAAACGAACAGTCCCTTAGGTTAAATGTGCAATATAAATAATCGGTGCTGATTTAACAGCTGTTGAGAGATTATTCTCAAATGAAACCGGTACAGAGGCTTGGTCCTGGAAACAGCATTCCTTACGTCACGACTTCCGGTTTCCAAAAGGTAGGTGACATCATCATGCTGACTTATCCGCTTTATTCCTGACGACCTACTGTCTGCGTTTCGAATTACGGGTGGCACTTCGGGTTTGGGAAACTTCCATTCAAAAAGGCTGAAACGAATAAGTTCAAATCATAAGGTTGCCCTACAAATAAAGCTGATCCGTCAGTTTGACTGGATGAGCTGTAAATTTTCATTCATGATTTATTTTCAGACATCATGAGAATAACGTTATACTTGGTATTTTAACGTGACATGTTATAACAAGAACATCTATGGCAAGAGCTCTTTTCAGTCGCTGCTTTCTTTTCCTCGTGATTATTTTCTTTTTTCCCTTTGCAATCCGCTGTAAAAGTTTGAAAAAGACAACATGTGGCCTACTGCTCATTTGTGGTCTGAATTTAATTTACGATATATTACATTAATAATTCACTGGAATGCACAAAGAGTCTCTTGTTATTCTCCTGAAATCCTCGCGTCTCTTTTACGTTTGTTTTCACAGGTAAATGCAATTTATAATCTGTCAAAATGACAGACATCACTTTGAAATAGTATCACGTAATGCTGAAGTTAATGGACATTTTTGATTAAGGCAACATAAGTTACTTAATACAGATACTGTATATATTACTACAGTGATATTTAACCAAAGACTCATGCTTTTGGGGTTATTTGGTCTGTTGAAAGTATGGTTGAAGGGTGAGTCGATTAATGTCATCTCATTGTGACACTTTTTTAACGTATTGCGTTCATAGAGCGAGCCTTTCACTGATTGTTTACAGCTTAACGGAAGTTACACCTGATTCACACAGAGCATCATGGGAATAAGCTGGATAAGACACCTACTTTTGGCCAAACTCTACGGCAGAGAAAACAATCCCACAATGTTTTGCAACTAGCTCAGTGGAATTTGTTTTATACTTTACGATAGGGTATTTCATATTTGTGTACTGTGCATTTTAATACTTTACTAAATACAAAAGCAACTTGTAATGCTAAACTCTGGAATCATTTGTGAAGTGGTGTCTGCTGTGTGGATCGCATAAGGAGCGATATGAACAGCATATCAATGTGCCTGAGAGTAACAGAAACTCTTTGGTTTTAATAAAGTCGAGTATTTCTGTGCATGCTAAGATGGGTTGAGAGAGAACAAGTGGAAAGACAAGAGAACAAAACACGAACAAAGTCTTTTCAAGCAGTCAATCATTTGACAGATCTAACATGAGCTCTCCAACATCACTAATCGCTTTCTAGACTATCACCATAAAGTCTGGCCCACTTTACAGCTTATTATGGCTGTAATACACCACTTCAACAGGAAGACAGGCTTGCGACGTTTAAGTGATTTTAAAGATATCATTAAATCCAGGTTTTGTGGCTTTTAGATTTCTCTTTTTTCCCTCCAGACATACACATTTAAAATGTGTAGTTTTCCTCTTTTCTGAAAATGGACAAAATGGTTTATTATAAGTCTCTTGCTTTTTAAAATGTAATTTATTCCCTTGATCAAAGCTGAATTTTCAACATCATAACTCCTGTCTTCACATGATCCTTCAGAAATCATTCTAATATGCTGATTTGCTGCTCAAGAAACATTTCACAATGCTAAAACAAGCATTTATTTGAAACAGAAATCTTTTATAACATTATACAAGTCTTCACTGTCACTTTGACCAATTAAATGCATCATTGCTAAAGTCAAGTATTCATTTCTGTGGCTGTGACGTACAACTAAAGGCATTTTAAAATCACCCCAACTACAGTACCTGTTTCAATAAGAAATAAATGCATCATCAAGAAAGCTAGAGCGACTGACCAATGTTGCTCCAGAAACCTTCGAGCGGGTAAAAAGAGACTGATCACCCGGTTGTGTTTGTTGACTGTGTCGGATGAGTCTCCTGATCGATCTGTTCGAGCGTGACCATAGATTACTGATTATATGAGCCAGGATCAATAGGACAAGGACGATTTTCTTCTGTATATTTGTCTCCCTGGCAGGTTTGCCCGATGGGACGCCACCACATTTACATAAAATCAATCTGAAACATACACCTGGTTTGGGATGGTAATTGGACGACTCTATATAACGCAGCAAATCGATTCAATTCTAGCAGTTTCCACATATACAATGTTTTCACAGAATTATACGATTCAGGCACAGCAGGATCTATAATTGAAATTTGTAAAAGTGTGATGAAATTATGCGTGGAAATGTGATGTCAAGATTCAGTGATGTGAAAAAGCAGCTAAAGCCGGAAATGCTTCTCTTTTGCCAATATATGCGGGCAAACTGACAGTGGATCTTCAGTAGGACAGCATTGACAGAAAAATGTGATATGATTTTATGTATTAACTGCTAAAAAAAATCAATTTTAAACCAGCCTAAGATGGTGTGCTAGTTTTTGCGGTAACACTTTACTTGAAGGGGTGTGCATAAGACTGACATGACACCTTCATAATCATGACATGAAACATGTCATGAATATGAAGGAGGTTCATGCATGTTTATGACAACTGTCATTGAGTGTCATTCGCTCAATTATGACATTTTGAATGCATATATGACATTGTTTGAGATGTCTTTGTTATGACAACTTGACATTACCAAGACAACATAAATTGTCATAAATATGTCATAAACATGACATAGCAGATTAATGATCAAACTTAAGAAACCACTTAGCTTTATGGGTTAAAATTACATTCAACTGTCAGGTGGTTGGTTTTGACATTGGCTGTCAAATTTAACCCGGCACATTTAATGTAACATGGTGTCAGAAGAAAAACGGAACGGGGGACAGTAGAAAGACCAAAGACGAACTAAACCTGTGAAGAAAAACAACGTCCCGAAAAAGGAAGGAAGATGGACGGAGAAATAACAAGTTCAACTTCTCCAATGCTAATGAATGGCCGAGATGGATTAAGCGCTTCGAACGCTACAGAATAGCGTCAGGATTGGATAAACAATCGTCAGAGTTTCAAGTGAATGCCTTCATGTATGCAGCTGGCGACGATGCCGAAGATATTTTAAAAGTTTTACCCCTCACGGACGAACAGAAGAAGTCCTATGACGCGGTGACAGAGGCTTTCACGGCGCACTGTGTCAGCAAGCGGAACGTTATCTTCGAAAGAGCGCGCTTCAACAGACGAAACCAAGAGCCCGGTGAGAGTGTTGAGTCCTTTATAACAGCGGTGCACACACTGGCCGAGCACTGTGAATTTGGGGTCCTGAGAGAACAGTTAATAAGGGACCGAATTGTGGTCGTCATTAGAGATGCTAAGTTATCAGAAAGTCTACAGTTGGATGCTGATTTGACGCTAGCAAAAGCCAGTGAAAAAACGCAGCAGTGAAAAAACAGCAGCCAGTGTTACGAGGGACAGAGCAAGCGACCGGACAGGTTGAAGCAATACAGCAAAAACATAATAAATGGCGGAAAGCGGCCAAAGATAAACCTGATTCAAAGTCATCTGAATGCAGCAGGTGTGGATTTTCAAGGAAACATTTGTGGAAGGACTGCCCCGCCCGTGATGCAGAGTGCAGGAGTTGTCACAAAAAGGGACACTTTGCAAAGAAATGCAGATCGACTGGTGGGGTCCATGACATCTCAGAGGCACATATTGGGAGCAAACACGAGGAGGATTTTGCTTTCCTAGGAGAAGTGGGCTCCGAGGGAGAGGATGAGTGGATAGAGAGACAGTGCAGTTAAATGGAGATGCAACTGTTGTCAAACTGGATACTGGAGCAAGTGTTACAGCAATTCCAAGCTGCAGCTACTCCATCAAAAAGCATGGGACACTGCAACCGCCACTTAAAGTGCTGTATGGACCAGGAAACTACAAATTGGAAGTAAAAGGATGTTTTAAAGGGGAGCTGAGTCACGAAAAGGTAACAATAGAACAAGACATTTATGTTGTTAAAGATTTGACTAAGGCGCTACTGGGCCTTCCTGCTATAAAAGCACTCAAGCTAATAAGGCGTGTTCACACAGTACAAGCCCGACAAGAGGATTTTAAGGCTCAGTACCCTACAGTGTTTTCAGGCTTGGGAAAATTTAAGGAGCCCTATAAAATAGAGCTGGAGCCAGGTGCGGTCCCGTATGCTTTGTCATCCCCACGCCGCGTGCCTCTACCACTGCGAGACAAGGTGCAGGCGGAGCTGAAGCGTATGGAGGACATGGGGGTGGTTTCAAAAGTGACCCAGCCCACACCCTGGTGCGCAGGCATGGTTGTGGCGCCAAAAGCTCAGCCAGGAAAGATTCGGCTGTGCGTGGACCTGACGCACCTGAACAAGTGGGTGCGGAGAGAGAGACATATCCTCCCAGCAGTAGACCACACACTAGCCATGCTGGCCGGGGCAAAAGTGTTCACGAAGCTGGACGCAACCTCCGGTTTCTGGCAGATCCCATTGTCGGAGGAAAGCCAGCTCCTCACTACATTCATCACCCCATTCGGGCGATATGCATTCAATCGCCTACCATTTGGCATCTCATCAGCCCCGGAGCACTTCCAGCGCCGCATGTCGCAGATGTTGGAGGGGTGCGACGGAGTGGTGTGTCATGCGGACGACATAGTCGTGTATGGAGAGGACATACAGCAGCACAATGAGAGACTGCACCAGGTGCTGAAGAGACTGAGAGATGAAGGACTCACGCTGAACGAAAAATGTGAGTTTACAAAAGATAATATCATGTTTGTGGGTCATCGTGTCACAGCAGGTGGCGTGACACCTGATCCAGATAAGGTCAGAGCCATCATGGAGATGCCCGAACCAAAGGGAGTGGAAGACGTGAGGAGAGTGATGGGGATGGTGAACTATTTGGGCAAGTTTTTACCCCACTTTGCGTCATACACCAGACCAATTAAAGACCTGCTCTGTGAGAAGAACGAGTTTTGCTGGGGAGCGCCACAGAGGGAGGCGTTCCAGAGACTTAAAATAGAACTGAGCTCACCACGGGTGCTGGCCTCGTACTCAACCACAGCAGAGACGTGTGTGTCGGCAGACGCCTCATCCTTTGGCCTGGGGGCTGTTCTCAGTCAACAACAGAGTGATGGAACGTGGAGGCCCATCATGTTCATCTCCAGGGGCCTGTCCGAGGCCGAAAAACATTATGCACAGATCAAAAAGGAGGCTTTGGCTGCGACGTGGGCATGCGAAAGGTTGATGCCCTATCTCCTGGGACTGAAGTTCAGGTTAGAGACAGACCATAAACCTCTAGTGCCACTCCTGAGTACCAAGGCGCTAGATGAACTCCCTCCCAGGGTGCTGAGATTCAGACTGAGACTGATGAAGTTCGCGTTTGACATTGTGCATGTGCCAGGCAAGAGTTTAATAACAGCAGACACATTATCAAGAGCCCCTGTAGGACACACACTCACACAGGAGGAAAAAGAAAACGAGGCGGAGGTTAAAGTTTTTGTGGATGCTGTCATCCAAAGCCTCCCCGCCACTGAAACAAGACTGAAGGTAATACAAGAAAAACAGAAAACTGACCCTGTGTGTGCAAAGCTTATCAGATACTGCAAGACAGGCTGGCCGGAGAAAAGTGCCATTTCTTCAGAGCTGGGGCCATATTGGCCTAAAAGAGCGACACTAACATTAGCAGGAGAGCTGCTTCTCAGGGGCCAAAGAATCGTCATTCCCCACGACATGAGACAAGAGATCCTCAACAACCTCCACAGTGGCCATCAAGGTATTGTCAAGTGCAGAGCGAGAGCACAACAGTCCGTCTGGTGGCCAGGACTGTCCGTACACATCAGTCAGCTGGTGGAGAACTGTAACACATGCTCACAGCACAGGGCAGAGCACCGAGAGCCTTTGCTGACCACCCCGGTACAGGAGAGACCCTGGCAAAGAGTTGGTACAGACTTATTCTTCTGGGAGAAGAAGACTTATCTCCTTATAGTGGACTATTTCTCACGTTACATTGAAGTTGCCCACCTCCATATTGCCTCAGCCAACACAGTAATTGCAGCTCTGAAAGAAGCATTTAGCCGCCAAGGGATACCAGACACAGTTGTGTCTGATAATGGATCACAATACTGCTGTGAGATGTTCAGAGACTTTTCCACAGAGTACGGGTTTACACACATCACAAGTAGCCCAAGATACCCGCAAGCAAATGGAGAGCTGTGGTGCGGTGGCTACCATAACAGGACTTTGGAAAGGAGGAGGTGAGAAACTAAAAGCTTTGATGGCGTATCGAGCCACACCCCTGGAGTGTGGTTACTCCCCTGCACAACTCCTTATGGGCAGACAGCTACGCACAACGATACCTCAGCTTCCAGTATCCCTGCTTCCCTGCTGGCCAAACATCAGAGGGTTCAAGAAGGGTGAAAAACGGCGGAAAGAAAAACAACAACTCCGCTACAACCTGCGCCATAGAGCCCGCCCCCTGCTGCCTTTGCAGCCGGGACAAAATGTGTGGCTCCCAAGAGAGGAGAGACAAGGGACAGTCGTTCAGCAGGCTACAACACCCAGATCTTACATTATTCACACAGATGAAGGACAGATCAGGAGAAACCGAAAACACCTACGTACTGTGCACCAACCACAACCTCAGGTGCTGCTGGATAAGACTGTTACAACTAAGGAGTCAGACAACCAGGTCGGACACCAACATGAGAGCACTGACACAGACAATCACAAACAGACAGTCACATCCAACACCCCGTATGTGACAACCTCAGGAAGAGTGTCACGCCCGCCAGAGCGCCTGGACATGTGAGAGACTGGGGTGAAGAGAGAAGGAAAAAAAAAAAAGTGCATTATTCTATAAATGTTCTGTTGTGAAAGGTTTTGTTTGATAAGAATTTCCTGATAAGTGAGTATTGCTTTCAAGGGCTTTAGACAGTTGTCAGAGGGGGGATTCTTATTCAAGAGGGGAGGTGTTCTGTAAAGGGAACTAAAGTTTCATGGTGACACACGACACGGACTGTTTTGAAGGTGACACATATGTTCCTAGTAAACGTTCATGCTAAGCATACGCCAGCTCTCAGTGTCTTTATTCAGTGCATACATCCGGCACATTTAACGTAACATTACCTATACTCTTAAAAAAAAAAAAGACTCTTTATTTGCATCGTTGTTTCCAAAAAGAACATTTAACATCCATGGAAACTTTCCTTTCCATTGCAGAGGTTCTTTATAGTGGAAAAAGGTTCTTTGGATTTTTAAAATGTTCTTTACACTCAGGGAAAAATGCTTATTTTAAGAACTGATGAATGAAAGGTTCTTTAAGAAAACCAAAACTGGTTCTTCTATGGCATCACTGCGGAAAAAAAAACAAGAAAACATCTTTGAGAATCTTTAGTTTTAAGAGTGAATGTTGAAAAATACTACCATTTTCATGAGGTGAATTTTCCCAAGGCACTTTATCCAGGCGTCATGCATCTTATAATCTTCATGATCCTGGATCACTTGGTGACCTACAAGACCCAAAAAGAGTTGCAATGAATGGACTTATGCTAATTTATTTGTAGTATTACATAGAAATAGAATATATAGAATCCGTAAATAAAATACATAGTTTTAGAGCTCAAATTTAAAACCCAATCAATATGCATTTTTGATCAGTGTTGTTATTGTTAACTAAAACTGAAATTAGAACTGAGATTTGCTTCATATTGAGGAATCGCCATGTACTTTCATTACTCTTGCATACAAAAATAAAAATCATTGCAAACTTCTAGAAAAGATAATGAACCCGCAGCTACAACAGAAGCCAGACATCAGCACAGACTAGGGTGACCACCTGCTAATAAGCCCAAGGGGGGACAAGGGGTATGTTTCTGAGGGACAATGTGGGACACTGCCTGGCGCGGCGGTGCCCCCACCTACGGGCAGACTCACTGATAGTGGTTTAACCATTTCTAGCACATACCACCTTACATGGTATATTAATAATGCCCTATTCCCTAAAACATGTGTAATTTGCTGATGTATGCTCATGAATAGGCCAACCAATGTGTATTTTTTTTCTAAATAAAGATTCATTCAATATTTTGAACATTCAATGAATTGACAGATGCATTTCCACTTACGATTTACTTTAGCTATTTAATTTGATTTATTTTTCATTACAATTTATTCACTTTAAATAAATTATAATATAAAATTATAGGATTAACAGGAATTGTAGTTGCTCAACACCACAGGGACAGTTTAAAAAAATATTCATTTTCCCAGTCTTTCTTGTACCCACACCTTCTCTTTTTAATTGATGATGGCGGTGCCTCAGACTCAGTCTCTTTCTCCATTTTTCGAACAGGAAAGCGCGCATCTAAAATTTCCTTCCCGGTGTGTCTGGTATGCACGTGCGTGCACTGTCATGACAACTACGAAAAAGTTGACAACAACCTAGTCAGCAGTTAAACCCAGTTCAACTGAAGGGTGGGTCACGTAGGTGTGGCAACAGTAGCGTGCTGAACTGTCAAGTAATGTTCGTTTGGCTGCCTGGGGCTCGAGGATATACATGTATAGAGCGACCAACTTTTGTTTTGAGCAAGCATTGATTATGCGTGACACGGTCTCAATTTGCACGCGCTATGCGGGACGGGTGGTCACCCTAGCACAGACGTTCAGTAAAGAAGTTTCCAGACGGCTGATGTCCTTCTGGCTTTGTGTCTCTGGACACACAATAAAACACTCTCAGACGGATCCATTAAACCCAAAGGTCTGCAGACGTCATGGAGGACCAACTCTACCATATTTAAAAATAAATACAGAAATAAATAAATGCTCAATAAATAAATAAGCATACAATTAATTGCCCCAAAAAATACAATAAACAAATAAATGTAGGTAGAAATTAAATTATACAGTGAGACATAAATGTATATATCTCTTTTAATTAGCTTCTTTATTTATTCACCTTTGTAATAATTACCTTATTTATTTATTGTCCGTTATAATCTTCAACTTTATTTATTAATTACTTATTTTTTTAGTATTTATTTATGTCCATGTTATAATATTTTTGTCTGTTTTATTCTTCCTTTGTATTTTTTTTACCCTATTTATTTATTCAATGCCATTTATTTCTGCCTGTCGTTTTTACATTTCTGTATGCATTTCTACCTCATTATGCAAATGAGGAGGGGCTGTGTCTTAAGGGGTCAACTTCTGCCCATTGGTTGGTTAGCATTTTACTGCATCGGTCGAATCTACATGCCACCGGCCGCGATTTTTTTTTTTTTTTTTTTTTTTTTTTTGCAGGGTGGTAGGGGAAGACTCATTAATATTCATTAGGGAACTCATCCCTGATTGTCAATTTAAAATATACATTTTAAAGTCAAGAAAGTCGCAGTTTGATGTAAAACTGTTGAGGTATAAGACTGTGAAAATACGCAATTAAAAAGACTACAAACCCCAAAGGCGCACATTTTCTCTCAATGAATGAAGCTAACTTTACTGAAGCTAACGTCTGTCATTTGTTCTATAGTCTTACGTTATAATCGTAACGTTACGCCGTCATGCCGGAGTGTTTTGTACCAGACTGCACACACACGAGCAGCGGATCTCGCTCGTTGTTTCGCTTCCCGGGAGATGTAACGTTAGTTCATTGAGCGATTTTCACATAAAACTAAATCTTACTCTTCTGTTTTATGACAAACTGCGACTTTCTTGACTTTCATAATTATCTTTTAAATTGACAAACATCATATGTGTAATTCAGGGCACAGTTCAGACGGAATAAAAAGATAAGTTGTCTCTCGCCATTGACTACCATACATATTTTTTCCGAAATAAGGTCCCATGAGCCGGAAGCGGAGGGGAGGGGGTTAGGCTCTCTATGGGCAGAAGTTGACCCCTTAAAGGACAACTCCGGTGCAAAATGAACCTCGGGTGTAATAACACATTGGTACAGACTAAATCGTTCCCTGAGATTTGTTTTCATGATAATCGAATGTAAAGAGTTTTATCTCTAAAAACAGTTTAGCTTATAACGCTAGTATATTGGGCATCGAGTAAGCAAAAAGAGATCGCTAGTTAATACCATTAACAAGGCTCAAATTAGCCCCACACTAACACGGCAGCATAATGAGTGTCCTTACATGCAAACCGAAGCATTGAGAACTTTGTAAGTGTATAGACAGTTTAATAAGAAGATACTTTACACAGACAGTACAGTTAGCGCATACAGACAGGAGCCATCTTGGAAAACAGTCTCGATCAGTCAAACCACGAACACGGTGATACGTGAGCTGAACTGTGACTTGGAATCTCATATGGTCCGTTGTTTCCGGAAGAAAGCACTGAGCGCATAAGAGAAGCACTGAACGCAACAGAGAAAATAAAAAAATAAATATAATTTATCTTATCTTCAATATCTACACGTACTGTTCGCTCACCTTCGTGGTTCTATTGATCGAGACTGTTTTCCAAGATGGCTGCTGTCTGTATGCGCTAACTGTACTGTCTGTGTAAAGTATCTTCTTATTAAACTGTCTATACACTTACAAAGTTCTCAATGCTTCGGTTTGCATGTAAGGACACTCATTATGCTGCCGTGTTAGTGTGGGGCTATTTTGAGCCTTGTTAATGGTATTAACTAGCGATCTCTTTTTGCTTACTCGATGCCCAATATACTAGCGTTATAAGCTAAACTGTTTTTAGAGATAAAACTCTTTATATTCGATTATCATGAAAACAAATCTCAGGGAACGATTTAGTCTGTACCAATGTGTTATTACACCCGAGGTTCATTTTGCGCCGGAGTTGTCCTTTAAGACACAGCCCCTCCTCATTTGCATAATGAGGCAGAAATGCATACAGAAATGTAGAAACGACAGGCAGAAATAAATAGCATTGAAGAAATAAATAGGGTAAAAAAATACAAAGGAAGAATAAAACAGACAAAAATATTATAACATGCACATAAATAAATACTTCAAAAAATAAGTAATTAATAAATAAAGTTGAAGATTATAATGGACAATAAATAAATAAGGTAATTATTACAAAGGTGAATAAATAATGAAGCTAATTAAAAGAGATATATACATTTATGTCTCACTGTATAATTAAATTTCTACCTACATTTATTTGTTTATTGTATTTTTTGGGGCAATTAATTGTATGCTTATTTATTTATTGAGCATTTATTTATTTCTGTATTTATTTTTAAATATGGTAGAGTTGGTCCTCCATAGACGTCTAAACCTCGAGCGAAAGCC